ATCTATATATATTTCAATCAAGTTTGATGACAGGTAATTATATGCCATTATTATTAATTAAAATTGTCATACGTACATATATGCACATCACTGTTAAACTATGAAACTATGTATCATGTTTGGTTTCAACTAAACCTTCTTTTTTTCTTTTTTGAAAGAAAACCTTAATGGACTTGATTGTTGACTTGTTAACATTCAAATCATGATGATGGAAAAAAGATATCTTGATGAATGGTGACACATGACACAAGGAAAAGTAAATAACATTGACAACCACAATCCATAACCAAAACAGACCTCGGCACAACATTCCATCATAAAGTACACACACACAACCAATATTATACACAAAAGATATAAACTTTTGTTTTACAAGAACATCATTTTTAAAAATAAAAAATCAAAAAAAAAAAAATTTATAAAAATGATCAATATTCGGTATCCACCGGAATTAATTCGGTTTAAATCATCGTAATCCGAAAAAAATTTTTTAATTTATGCTTTATTTTATCTAATTGATTTTATTATTTAGATTATTATTATTTGAATGGCGCTCCAAAATTAGGTTACTTTTTTGACAACCTATAATAAGCAGACAACTTCTTTTCATATGAATGAGAGTGTCTTTGGGATTGTCCTTTTTTTTTTCTTGTTTGTAATTGAAAAAATTACTATTTTGTTTTATCGTGTAGTGTCATTATGGGTGAGTTCTTTCGGTCGTGTGTAAATCTTGACAAGAATCTTAACCTTGAAAATCTAAATAAAAAAAAAAAACTTTTTTCCTTTCAACGATCATATTTGACTTGATTGATGGATTATGACCCATGATAATACATACATACATGATAATAATAAAAAAGGGTAAAGTAAAATTCCAAACCAAATCAATGCTAAAAAAAAAAATTGTTTCCAAAAAGGATCTCATTGATTTCATTAACTCGACATTTAAAATTTCGCACGAGATGTCTTGTTGATGATTATCCCTTTTATATTTTATGCATGATGATTTTCTTTTTCTTTTTTTTTTAATTAAATTAAATTTCGGGGGAAACAGAGAAAAAGAAAAAAACACATAATCATTACATACCTATCACAATCACAAACAAAACAACAACAACGAATAATAGACAGTATCAATCACTCAATGAATGAAAATTTGCCTGTGTGCTTTTTTCGCACATCCCCGGGTGGAATCGGCTGCGCCTAATCTATATAACCTGATAAAATAAATATTTAAATGAATAAGTGGAAAAAAAAATTTATTTTTAACTAAGAAAACACGTTATCTTCCCGAAAAGGCAATGGAGCGATGTGGAGAAGTTGAGAGATAAATGAATGTGTGAGAAAAGTCAGGACAAAAGGAAAAAAAAAAGGAGTCACGTTTCCATGTTTGAAGTTAATTTTAGTTTAATGTTCAAGAAAGGCTGAAACTTGGAAGATTCTTTCTTTTTTCAAGAAGTTCATTATAAATGATCCTTTTTTTGTGTGTGTGCGCTTGTTATTGTGTTGTAAAAAGAAAATTTAGAAGCACTCGGCCCTCTTTTTTTTTTTATTATATTTGTATTTTATTTTGTTTGTATTTTGTTGTTGATAAAGGTAACAATGAGAAGAGTAAATGGCCGCTTCAATTAGGTTAACTTTAGCAAAGACGCAATGAGTAGAGCACGAAAAAGTGCCATACAGCCAACTGGCATATGAACGTTGGTAAGCCCCGCGCCAAATTAATTAATAAAAAAACCTTCATCAAACAGACTCGGCCAAAAGGGCATTTATTCATGAGGTAAGGATCTCGACATCGCTGCGGGTGATACGATTGACCTGGTTGACTGGAAACGGAAATCCTAATAGGAATTGTTTGCTTTGGGTAGTTTTGGTGGTATTACATGTTTTTTTCCTTACATTGCATGGGCTGTATTACATAATAAGTGATGATGATGTTTAGGTTTAAGAGATTAATTAACTGTTTGGGGTTTGCGATATTACAATCATATCATGTGATTAATATTGTCATGTTGCCAAGCGCTTGAGTATTACGTTCTTATACATGTTCCATTTTTCTAATGATCATTGCAGAAATTAAATGACATCAAAAAAAAGTTGTGCTCCGTGTTAACTAAAGATGTTACATTTGGTCAGATTAAAAAATTACATTAAAGTTTTTAATGTACCATGATTTATATGGTCTCAGGAACATCAAAACATTTTAAATTGTGGAATTCTTTTTTTTTAATTCCATGTTTGGTTAGAATTCAAGCACGATACCAGGATTCCAGGAAATAATCTCCTTATATAAAAATAAAGTTTCCCCTTCCGAAACGAATATTCTTTATAAATGAACTTATTGTTAACAAAATGATACTGTATAATGTATATATGTATGTATTCGGAGTGCATTATTGCGTATCACTTTGTGTTTAATTATGTACTGTATTGTATATTATACCTTTTCTCTTGTGGAAAAAAAAAAGCTTTTTTATCAGGCCAATGAAATGTTAAATCTTTTTAATGCATGTCAAAGGTAAAAAAAAAGATCAATGACACTTTTTTTTTTTTTTCTCGAAAAAAAGGAATCTTTTTACAATGATGATAAAATTTTGTATTCTTCGAAACCTTTGATAACGACGTATCGGATAAGTTGGTCTCAATTTTTCTTCTTATTTTTTTCTTTTATTTATTTTTTTTAATGCAGTAAGAAGCAAATGACCTTTGATAACACAACTCCGTACTTTCTTAAATCGGAAAAAAAAAAATAGACTTTATTTTTCTTCAACGTATTGTTGTATTAAAGTGTGTGAAATACTTTACTTTTATCATTGGTAATATTATTATTATTGTTGTTGTTGGTTGTTGTTGTTATTATTATTGTTGCTATTTTGCTTAAAAAATCCCTTTTTCCCCTAAACACGGACGATTTTTTTATCCTTTTGGGTAATTTTTTTTTTCATTTGCATTTATGTTTGTGTTGAAATCGGTTGGTTTTTTTTTTTTCTAAGTTATCTATCTTTACTTTATCCTATCTTATTCTACAGAAAAAAGAAATCTTTTTGTTTCATTGTTTATTATTTGTTTTTTTTTTTAATCATCAAAATAAATTAAAACAAATTGAACAATTTGTGGGGAAAAAAAAAAAAAAATGTTTTTTTTTATTCGATGAAATCTTCTTTTTTTTTCTCTTTGGAAAAATATTAAAAATAAAGAATATAATTTTAAACTATAAATCTTAATTTGAGAATAATAAATGATGATAATACTGGTAAAAATAAAAAGCGGGCTTTGCCACCCTTTTTTTTTTATTTGCATAACCACCTTTGCTCTCGTGATTAAATAAGCAAGTTGATCAAGTTGATTGAATTGATTGATTGTATGTCTCCTTTTTTTTTTTCCTTTGAAATATGCACGTTAACTATCACAAGTTAAAATAAAGTTTTTGGTATTATTGAAAAAAAAACTTTAAAACACTTCAATTTGACAATGTAAAAAGAAATTCATATTATCTCATTCTAATTTATCTAAACCTTTACCCGTGGTCAAAATCGATTCTTTACTAACGGATTGGATTGGTTGCTTTATAAATCTCTTTTTACTCTCCTCCTTTTTAATTTTTTTTTTTTTTTATGACAGAATCATTTAAAATAAGATAAAATAAACAATAATATTTTGTGGGGAAAAAAAAAAAAAAAAAGATTATGATGTGATATTTTCCTGATTATGGTGTGATTTACAAATGTAATTTGAGAAAATCTGTAGTTCAACAAGGAAAAATGAACTATAAAAAAAATTTTTTTATTGATATTGTTTTAAAAAAAAAAAATTTGTGTTTATATATTCATTATGAAATCCGATTTACTTGTTTAAAACGCGATTTTTCCTTAATGAAATCCATTTTTATGATTATTGTTAATAATGAATAAATAATTACTAATTGTGCCATTTGAAAGGATAAAAATAAATAGAAATCATGATATCTATCTAATTAAGAAATAATCTCTTAATTTGATCCCGGTTAGGGAAAAAAATTACTTTGATATGTTATAATTAACCAAAAAGAAAAAAAAAAAAAAAACGCCCCATATGCGCTTCTTTTTTCGGATTTGACATTTAATAATATTAAGCTCCCGAGATTATGCGAAATCGCTGACATAATTCTAACCTTTCAATCTAAAATAAGACAAACGGCATTTACATTGGGTTCATTCATTTCATATGAATGAATACATATATACTTTTTCATACATTAAAGTATTAAACATTTAATGTATTCATGAATCTCGTTTCTCTTTTTTTTTTTTTCGCCCCAACGCGTTAGATGTACATAATCATTTGCTAAAAAAAAATATTCAAGTATCGATTCAAGTTTTTTTTACCTTTTTTTTTCTTTTTTTTTTTCCAAATCAGTTACTAATTCATTGATTGTAAGTTATTGATATTAAAAAGAAAGGGATTTCTTTATCGTGTTTGTACACGTATAATTTTTTTTGTTTAATAATGTTTTATCGTGGAAGAAGTGATTTGCGATTTTCTTCTGTCAAAAAATGATCAGTTGACTACTATATAATATACATATAAATAAATAAATTAAATGGTAATGAAAAAAGACAAATAGTTTTATTTGTCCGTCAACAAAGAAACGCGTTGACGCGCCAAACCTTTTTAAAGAATACCAAATTACCATGTATAATTTAAAGTTTAATGAATTGTTTGAAATGTAAATAATAAAAAAAAAATAATGTGCCGAATTCGTTTGTTTGAAGGTATATATCACATCGATTCTTTGTTTAATCATGATGCGCATTTAAATTATATCCCAAAAATATATTTTATCAAAATATAAAATATTCTTATGTTAACATCAGTATTACTATATTTAATTAATTTATTGAAGGATTATATATACATACATATATTTGTACATATATGCATATTTTTTTTTTTTTTTTTTTTTGAGAAAAAATGGTTAGCAATCTACTTGAGCAATCCGAAGGAAAAAACCCATTCCCATTTTATGAAAGATCCATGGTATCCCCACCGTGTCCTATACCAAATTCTTTACTTTCTAGTTCAATATGATAAGCATTATACTGTTCACCCCACTGCCCAACTTTAGTATCTCTAACAAAAGCATCGAATTTGGGTGTGCTTCCACCTATAAATATGATTAATATCATTAGTCACGCTGTAAAAATGGAGAATTTTTAGAAATTTCTTAAGCGTACCATGCTCAGCCAGTTTAGCCAAGGTTACTACAACTCTCACGGCTGATCGACATAATTCATTGTTTTTATCGATCTCTGATTTAACAGCGTTATCCTTCATTCTGTATGTAAGCGTTCCTTTGAGTGGCTCCACAGCCTCATCAAGTCCTAAATGATGAATTTGTAAGTGTATGGTACATTCGAATAACCTAAACTTGAAACTTACTTTGCGTAACTGCCGTTGGTGCAACGCGCGCCAATCGAATCAACATTGTATGTGAAAGTATAGCAATATCATGTTGGTCCGATAATCCTTCAACAACGCGCGTGAGAAAGTTATATATTTCAAGCTTGTCGAGGCATGTTTCGAGTAAAGTATACATGCATTCATAAGCAGACTGTAAAAAAGTGAAAGTAACCGTGTAAATAAATAAAGAAATAAATATACATGTATATAAAATTCATCTATATCAATAAAATAAAATTGGTACCTTTCTAATATCAAGACCATCGTCTACTTTATGTTTGAATGGTCCCATTTCAACCATATGGATGAGATGCTCCTAAAAAAGTTTAATAAATGATGAGCTTCATTTTTTTGGACTTTACCAATAAAAATGACAAGTAGGATACCTTTATAAGGGTTTCTTCATATAACAAAGGTAATAGTTGATTCAAAACATCACGGATCAAATATGGTTTGTTGTGAGCCGCTGAGTTCAAGGTTGATAACGAAAGTCTACGTACATTCTGAAAAGTAAATTTTAATAACAAATCATTCAATAAAAAACAAAACAAAACGTAAAATAAGATTATTATATATTAACCAAATCATTGTCTTGTATTAATGACAAAAAATCCACAATTAAAGGTCGTAATAATTCATCATATCCTTGTCCTTGATTTATAAATGTAAATTTTATAGCCGTGACAACAGTACCACGAGTTTGAGCCGATATAGAACGTAAACGTTTCTTAAAAATATATATATATATATATTAACGCTTTTTCTTTTTTAAAACAATAAAGGTGGTAAGCTTAAATAATACCTGAAGTTCTGGTAAAAATTTATTGGGATTTGCTAACGTTAGTTTACCGAGACACTCGGCAACAACGCTACGAGTTCCTTCCTCTATATTTTCACCACTATCAAACAAAATGTTCCTATAAAAAATTGATAAAGATATTAATAACAGACAAATAATAAAAAATTTTACTAAATGGTAAAATTTTAAGTACCAAATGTCATCAGCAAATGGACCAAGAGCTTTGACACCTTCTTCATTTGAATAACGAGAAATAATCTACATGAAAATACATGGAGTTACGTTCAGATAAGTTTTAAATAATTAAATATTAATCAAAAAAAAAAATGATACATACTTCTTTAAGCCCATGTAATAATAGGTACCGCTTCTTTGGATCCTCTTTGATCTCCCTGATAACGATTGGCAAGTATTTACCAACATTACCAGCGCTTACATTGCCGAGCGCGAACGCAGCTGCTGATTTTATGTCCTCGGAAGGTACCGAAAACAAAGATAGTATAATAACATGTAGATTGGCGTGCTTACTTAAATCACTATTAAATAATTTTAAATAATTAGTTAGTTTCTCAAGATTTAGCAATTATTTAATTACATCTAAACTGATTCATACACTTTACGTCCGATTTCGCCTAAAGCTAACAAAGATAAATATTTCACTGAATCGGATTGTTTTTGATCCTAGAACGCAATAAAAAATAAAAAATAAAAATTTTGTAAAATTTCAAATTAAATTACTATATAATTATTTAAACTCTACAAACCGATATTTTCTTTGAAAAATCATTAACAGTTGATGAACAATTTCTTTGGGATATTACACAGAGTACGGCAATACATTGTGCAATTGTTGAATATGCCTAAGTTTTGAGAAGATTATTAAAAGATACACATGAAATATCGTTAACATAACGGCAGAGCTTTACCTGTTTTGAAAGTGTTAATTGACCTGGTTCCGCAACCAAAGCGGGTTGAATCAATCCGTTTAGTAATTTGTTAAAGTCGGCTTCATTAGTTGCTATTAAAGTTTCGAATAGAACCAATAAACTGTCTAATGCGGCTCCTTGCACAAGAGTCGATTGTACAAGTTGGAAAATGGAAGGTAATATATCTTTGTATACAGCTCCAAGTGATTGCGGGTTAGTACGCAAGACAGATACTACGGTATTTAGAGCTAATGGTAATAGATGAAGATCTTGGTCTGAAATATGAGGTGTCAATTCTTCAAGTACGCGAGAATAACTTGCAGGACCCAAGAAATTACCATATCTATATCATATAAACAAAAAAAAAAATATTAGGTACAGAATATTATAGGTAATAAATATTATTGACATACCTTCGAACGAAAACCTCCAAACATACTAAACTAGCAACCTTTAATTGACGATGACTCTTCCTAAGTAAAACTGCAACTTCATTGATAGCTCCAATTACGGCTTGTTTTACTTCTTCACTGGCACAAACTGTACTATCAGCAATACTTGTAAAGGTCTTTACAGTCGTTAAACGCGTAACTTCATTTCTCAGGCGATCCAAGAGCATTGGCATGCAAACTTTGAGTTCTTCTTTTAAATTATCACCACATTGAGATATAAGTACACCCAAACACATAATAGAACGTTCCTTAACTTCTTGGTCAGCATCGGTTGTTGAGAGACGTGCAATGGTGACGTTATAAATGTCCAAAATATATGATCTGAAAGAAGGATTCAATGTCTGAACGTTATATGTCTTAGTTTGTACATTATACTCGATAGGGCGAATAACTTTAACTAATTCGATGCAGACTAAGAAAGCTTCAGATGTAATCTTATAAAATTTATCCTCGACAGAGGAAATTATAGGTCGACATAATCTATCAAGATAATTATGGAAGACTTGTGGGGGATGAACTTTAAATAATTGTCGGAGAAAACTCAAAGTTTCAATCTTTAGATTAGAATTTGTGCTAGAATGATGATGCGAAACATCTGATGAGGTGGATAAAGAATTTTCGATGGCTGGAATGAAGGTATTGAGATGATTATCAAGACCTCCATTTAGTACTGTAACCAATTCTCTTAGAAGAACAAATCCAGTTTGTTTTGTGACAATGGATTTTGATAACAACTGCTTTGAAAGGTTTCGGCTAAGTTTAGCTACTAAATTTCGAAGCATTTGTTTGGGGCTGTTTATATAAAATATAATGGAATTAAGAAGAGATTTCAAATACATCAGAATACATGTATTAAATCAATTATACCTTTCTTGAGACTCGCTAGGACCAATTGCTCTTCTGCGTTTAGGCTCATGATCATTTTCTCTTGTTACGTAACTTTCACCACCATACACCAACGTTTGTCTAAGCAACACAATGAACGTTTGGAGAACATCAACGCGTACAGATTCTTCCCTTTCTTTAAATCGATTTACCAAAGCTGGGGCAACGCTTTGATATAATTGAGAAAGAAGTTCGTGTCGTGTGCCAACAATGGCTGCAAGTACTTTTGAAGAGGAACGACGCACTTTCCATGAGATATCATCGTCATCAGAATAATCCCTGTGATTTGAAATTCACACAATTAATTCAATATTAAGCGCGCCATTAAAATAACGCGTATGAATAATAAACACACCCTTCATCATCATCTTCTTCCTCTTCATCTTCTGTTACCATCTCTTCATCTTCATCCATTTCTTCATTCTCATCATCCAAATCATTATTATAATTAGGGTCATATTTCAAATAAACTAAGCAAAGATCAATAATCGTATTAATATTGGGGGTGATCTCAGTGGGACAACGTAACACGAATGATTCTAACGCCTAAAAAAAAATATTTTTGAGTTAATTATCTCTTTAAAAACGTATGTTTTATTGGTCTTTCATAAAATGAAATGTATTACAACTAACTTGCAGGCAATTTTCACGTAATTCATCATCATCGCAAGCATCGACATTTTTAATTACTAATGGTAAGAATTGAGGTAGGTGTTTTCCTAATCTTGGTGCACTTGATCGACTAAAATAATAATAATAATAATAATAATAAGAACGCGTAAAAAATCAACCAATTTTTTTGAACCTAACAAAAAAGAATTTTGTCTAAATCACGTGCCTTAATGTCCCTACGCATTGAACTAATGTTTTCAATTTATCATTTTGTTCGCCAGCTCTGCCGAATTCCACCAGTAATTGTTGTACTAATTCATTAAATAAGTCGTCAGGAGTATGTGTCACGAGATTACCTAAATGCGATGTAAATTAGTAAACAATGTATAGTGAGAAAGTATTAATAAAGGTATAAGGTGTACCAAGAGCAACAGTAGTTCTCTTTCTAAAGGCCGGTCTCGAATGACCCAAAAGTGGTACTAAAACATTTTGGATTCTCTTTTGAACTTGTGGGTTATTAGCAACGGAATGTCCAAAACGGGCGAGGAGTTCGCTTAAAATATCAAGGGTATCCATTTTTACTTCGTATGTAGCATTTGTCTGTTTCAAAATATTTGATTAAGGTTATATGCTTCGTAAAGGTAAATGAGTAATGATTATTTAAATAACTAACATCTTCAAGCTGTGCAAGAAGTCTTGGAATTAATCGTAGCATCACATTACTAGCACTAGGATTACTTGGTATTTCAACAATGACGGTTTTCAAGCCTTGCAATTAAAATTGAATAAACAAATTAGTATCACATGTGTGAATAGAACTTAGCATAAAATTAATAATACCAATGCCAGCAATATCCCGTAATTCTTCTTTTCCTGGTTGTGTTGTGTAGCTGCAAAGTTGATCAACGATTTCTTGCAGCTGTGGCTCACGAACTTTTTTGACAAGTGGAGCGAGGCTAAAATAAAATTTCACGACAGATCATTAGAATAACGAACGTGTATCACTTTATTTAGTTATTTATTACCATTTAACTGCCAAATTCTGCACTTCTCCATTAGCATCATCCATTAATTTTATTACTTTTTGAACCACTCTTTTTTCAGTAGATTCCTCCAAAGTAAACCCATCCTTCTGAAGCTCATTCATTAAATCATTGGTGGCCATGTACCGAAAATCGGTATCGCTAGAGTCCATCTATTAATAAATCCACGATTTTTATTTAATTTTAGATAAATCAAATACATTATAGTTATTTTTCAATAAAATCATATAATGAATGATACCTTCTCTAGCAATCCGACCACCAAATATGAATTGCTGCTCATTTTCGTTATTTCTAAAGCTAACAAATGATTTTAAGTATTTAATGATGTGTGTGTATATATATATCGGTAATATGGGGATCACGTTTTAAAGACGTATATTTTGAAAAAAAAACCCTATAACCTAGTAATGCCAGACGTGTTTTTATTTTAAATAAAGCTACTAATAATTTCAAAAAAGGGTCAAGTATGACAGAATTGTTTAAATTTTCGCAGTTATTAAGCTTTCAGACAACGCAAACTCGCAAGTTACAAGCGAACGAGCATAAAAAACTATTTTAAATGCAAAGTTCGTTTACTGAAAAACATTAGTTAACACAACTTACATAAAAGCTAAGTAGTAAAAACTATGTTGTGAGAGTAAGATCTTGTTAAGAGAGTGTTGTAGTAGAAAACTTTTCGGTTTTGAACCACCGTACTCGCGATAGTTCTTTGAAGTTCAATAATCAGATTTTTTATTGGAAGATGATAATCCAATGAAAATCATTTGTTAATCCGTAAAATTTTGTTTATCACGTGATTATTTATTACTGTAGTTATATTAATAAAAAACCTAAAATTCTTATAAGAATATTTTCAGAATTAGAAATTTTATTTACTCACAAAATAACCAAGAAACTTTTTATCTATATTAGTTAAAATAAGAAAAAATATTAGAATTTATATTTATAATATTTTTTTTTCTTTTTTTTTTAAAAAACTCAGATAAAAATTATATTAAAATCATAATAAGAAATATAATAAAATCCTTCTAATATAATGAAACCTAAACTGAAACTACATTAAAAATATAATAATAAATATAATAAAATTATTTTAAGAAGCATCTATACTGTTTTTATTACTAAATAAAAAAAAATAATATCATAAAAAATAGAAATATCTTTAATATTATTATATTAATTATCATACAAGAGTATTTGTAATAAAATCAAGTTATAAATATATTAAATTATATAATTTGTAATATAATTTTACTGATAATATTCTTATATGATATATTATATTTAAGGTTGTTTATTTAAACTTATTTTAGATTTGGCAAAACATCTAAACTTTAGTTTCGTTATTCTTTACTAAGGTTTTGATATAGTTTTACATTTTTATAAGCTTTAATATAGTTTTATCTTTTCCAGAATTTTGCAAATTTTTAATAAGATTTTAATATAATTTTACTAAATTTTAACTTTTTCCATTTAGATGACTTATAAAACTTCTAAATTCATTTAGCAATTTTAACAATATTAAATAAAAAATTTATTTAATAAACTTAATATTATGATATCTTATTATATTTAAGATTTAAAAATTAAAATACAAAATAAATATAAAACTATAATCAATTATAATTGTATAAATAGACACATTTTAATCTAATTAGTATAAATTTAATAAATTAATAGTAAATTTTATTTCATATATAAATTAATAATATAATTAATAATATTTTACTAAATTAAGTAAAATTAATTCTGACATAAATTTCTAATTAATATATTTCTGATTAATATCATTTTGATAAATTAAATAAAGTTATTAATTTTCTAATTGAATTTTAATTGATATTATTTTAATAAATTGTATACTTTACATTCTGATTGATATTATTTAATAACTATAAACTTTATAATCTAATTGATATTATTTTAATAAATTATAAACTTTATAATCATATTTAGTATTTTATTGAGTTTGTTAATTATAAATAAAAAAGTTTATATACTAAAATTATTATCATATACTTAGTAGGATTCTATATATCTAAGAATAAATATAATAAATTAATATAATTGAATTTTTACTATAATCATAAAAAATTTTTTTAAATTTCAATATTATAACTTTTATTTTTATTATTACTAGAAAATGGAAACTGTTATTAAGTCCAAAACAATCTACTAGTATTTACTTTATCTAGACTTTTATGTAATTGCAAAGGTCAATCAGTATTGACTAGGGTTGCAGACATTTCTTAAGATAACTACCTATTATGTCATTAAGTTAATGTCGTAGATAGATATTATCTTTTAACATTTTTGCCATATATATGTATGAGGTAGTAAGGTAGTAACAGATGTATGAGGTAGTAAGGTAGTAGCAGATGTATGGGATAGTAAGTGTAATAGGTATTGACATATTATATATATTATATACATTATACTTGTTAATACATATTGATAAAATATGCAGATTTTCTACTTTGTCGCAAAATCAGAATGATTTACCAATCATTCAAACTTAACTTAGATGTAGATTGTCATAGAATTCCATTAAATTTCTGGATCTGAATGATTGACAAATCAGAAATGTGGCTCTGATTTATAGTAAAGTGCATTATAATTTATTTCTATTGTAATTTTATTTAAGTTAAATATCAAAATTAAAAATATTTATAGTTAAAAATAATATATCTGTTGTATTATAAAACTAACAAATTATAATATAAATAAATAAAATGTTATTGTATTATTTTATTATATAAACTACCGTATTACAAATGTTATTATTTATTGTATTATGATAAATGGTAAAAAAAATAAAATTGTTATTCTAGTTAATTATGTAA